CCACCTACTACTAACGAGGCTGTTCAGGTCCTGAACCGGTGCTTGGCCGCTGTGACGGTCTGGATGAGGCCGAACAAATTGAAATTGAATCCAGACAAGACAGAGGTACTCCTGGTCAGTCGCAAGGCCGAACAGGGTATAGGGTTACAGCCGGTGTAGGGCACTCCCCCTGAAGACGCAGGTTCGCAGCTTGGGTGTGACCCTGGACTCATCGCTGAGCCTGGAACCCCAGGTCTCGGCGGTGACCAGGGGAGCATTTGCACAGTTAAAACTTGTGCACCAGCTGTGCCCGTACCTTGGGAAGTCTGACTTGGCCACGGTAGTCCACGCGCTGGTTACATCCCGTATAGATTACTGCAACGCTCTCTACGTGGGGTTGCCTATGAAGACTGCTCGGAAGCTACAAATGGTCCAACGATCAGCAGCCAGGTTGTTAACAGGAGCGGCACTCAGGGAGCACACCACTCCTCTGCTGCGCCAGCTCCACTGGCTGCCAATTTGCTCCCGGGCACAATTCAAAGTGCTGGCTTTAGCCTTTAAAGCCCTAAACGGTTCTGGCCCGACCTATCTGTCCGAACGCATCACCCCCTATGAACCAGTTAGGACATTAAGATTGTCCGGGGAGGCCCTGCTCTCGATCCCGCCAGCCTCACAAGCACGGCTGGCGGGGACGAGAGACAGGGCCTTCTCCGTGGTGGCCCCTCGGCTGTGGAACGCCCTTCCCGCAGACGTTAGATCGGCTCCCTCCCTACTGGTGTTCAGGAAAAGAGTGAAGACCTGGCTCTTTGAACAGGCGTTCAATTAAGCAGTGCAATCAATTGACTGAATTTGGAACTGGAATAATGGATGAGGAGATCGGATTGTGATTTTACTGATGAGACGTGACGGATTAGTTATTGGATGTACTGATGTTTGTTCATTTGCTGATGTATTGTTGTATTGTTTTAATTGCTTTAATGACTGTTTAGATGTTAATGCTATGCACTTTGTATATTGTCCTGTTGTAAACTGCACTGAGTCGCCTACGGGCTGAGATAGTGCGGTATACAAATAAAGTAAATAAATAAATAAGTATCCCAAGCTCTGAGGATGACCTGAGATGGAATCCCACTGGAGCATTGCAGCGCATCCAGATCCCTGGGAGTTACTCTGGACCGTGCTCTGACTTACAAGAAGCACTGCCTGAACATCAAGCAAAAAGTGGGTGATAGAAACAATATATACGAAAGCTGACTGGCACAACCTGGGGATCACAACCAGACACAGTGAAGACATCTGCCCTTGCGTTATGCTATTCTGCTGCTGAGTACACATGCCCAGTGTGGAACACATCTCACCATGCTAAAACAGTGGATGTGGCTCTTAATGAGACATGCTGCATTATCACAGGGTGTCTGCGCCCTACACCACTGGAGAAATTACACTGCTTAGCTGGTATTGCACCACCTGACATCCGCCGGGAAGTTGCAGCCAAGAGTGAAAGGATCAAGGCAGAGACATCTCCAGCTCATCCCCTGTTTGGGTATCAGCCAGCACGTCAATGACTTAAATCAAGAAATAGTTTTCTAAGATCTACAGAGACACTTGCTGGAACACCCCAGCAAGCGAGAGTCCAAACGTGGCAGGTTCAAACCCAGAACCTCAATCCATGGCTGATACCAAATGAGAGACTTCCCCCTGGGCACACAGAAGACTGGGCGACTCGGAAGGCGCTGAACAGACTGCGCTCTGGCACCACGAGATGCAGAGCCAACCTTAAGAAATGGGGCCACAAAGTGGAATCCACAACATGCAAGTGTGGAGAAGAGTGTGCCAACTACTGACCACCTGCTGCAATGCACCCTGATCCCTGCCACATGCACAATGGAGGACCTCCTTGCGGCAACACCAGAGGCACTCCAAGTGGCCAGATACTGGTCAAAGGACATGTAATCAACTACCAAGCTTGCAAATTCTGTGTTTTGTCTGTTTGTTTTTGTCAAAAATATAATACAATTGTCTGGTTGCTACTGACAAGATAAATAAATAAATAAAAATTTGCATGTGCAATGCAAAAATAGTCAGATGTTATGTACATTTTCACACATAACACACAATGTGCATCAAACAACGCACAGCTGCATGGAGAGTGTGCAGTTCTGCATGCACACTGTGTTCACAGACCTCTGCATCTACAGATCTGAGTGGTAGGGAAATGCTCTCTGCCTGGAAAACCAAAAATGCATTCCCTTTCACAGGAGAATTTCACGAGGTGTTTGTGCTGAACTTCAGCTTCATTTTCTTTCTATTAAGTGTTTGCATATATTCCTAGGTTCCATGCATTTGCAACAAGGTGGCTTCCCTTGGTTTGCAATCATAGGGCTAGCCAGCTGTCTATCATTGTTAAGTTTTGGTTCTGCCCCTTTCCCCAGGGCCATGGGAAGAGAGGGAGCCATTTTTAGTTCAGTCTTATAGTGGAAAGCTAAGCTACAGGACATGGATTAGCTCCATCCGTAGAAAAGCTTCATTTCCTACAGCATCCGGGGCAGAAATTCCGGGGAAAAACAGTCCCAAAGCTCTGGCTGGGAGCTTACAGCCTCTCAGCTTTACAGCATCTGAGGGAAACAGTCCTAAAGTAGAAGGAAACAGTTTTGCAGACCCAAAGAACTCCAGCTGGAGAATCTACATAGTCTTGACTGGTAGGTCTACTCGGGACCCAAGACGCAGATTGGAACCGGTAGTAGAACCCGCATCAGCAAAGCTTAGATAGTGGACAGCCTGGGAGGGGTTAAAAAAGGGTTTTCCTTGTTAAAGAAATAGTTCTCCAAGCAATTTTGGGGCAAGTTAAGAAGCATTTGTTTAATCTGTTGAAGATCCAAGAAGTGTTTGTTGTTTTATTGAAGACCTAAGCAATAATAAAGAACTTTGTGAAACATTTCAAGCCTTTTAAAGACTGTGTGTGGGAAAATCCTTGAAGGCCTCTCACCTGTGGCACCCTGGCTCCCCACTGGAAACAAAGAGCACGTCCTGTTCAAAAAATAAATTATTAAAGGCCCAGCGCGTGGCAGCACAGTGTCAAGAAGATACCAAGAGGACTCCAGACAAAAGAAAAACGTTACCAACGTTATCACTCAAAAGGCTTTCCAAACATTCAGCATTTGGACGTCTGCAAGGGTTTAATTCCAGGACCCTTCATGGATATCCAAATCCATTGATGCTCAAGTCCCCATGATGTATAATGGTGTAATCGAATGGTGTCCCTTATACAACATGGCAAAATCAAGGTTGGCTTTTTGGAATATTTCTCCATATTGTCAAGCTGTGGATAGGGGAATTCAAGGAGGCATCATCTGTGGATATGGAGATCTGATGGTACTCACCAAGTTTGGCATCTCATCCATGGAATTGGTATCGAAGATTCAGGAGCCATAGCAATTGGGGAGGAACCCGTTTCTGTCCCTCCCCTGACTTTCAGCATGGGTTTTAGTGCAAACTTAAAAAGAGCCACCTCCCCCAAAGAATCATAGAATCCTAGAGTTGGAAGAGACCTCATGGACCATCCAGTCCAACCCCATTCTGCCAAGAAGCAGGAATATTGCAATCAAATCACCCCTGACAGATGGCCATCCTGCCTCTGTTTAAAATCCTCCAAAGAAGGAGCCTCCACCACACTCTGGGGCAGAGAGTTCCACTGCTGAACGGCTCTCACAGTGAGGAAGTTCTTCCTCATGTTCAGACGGAATTTCCTTTCTTGTAGTTTGAAGCCATTGTTCCTTGTCCTAGTCTCCAGGGAAGCAGAAAAGAAGCTTGCTCCCTCCTCCCTGTGGCTTCCTCTCACATAATTATACATGACTATCTTATCTCCTCTCAGCCTTCTCTTCTTCAGGCTAAACATGCCCATCTCCTTAAGTCTCTCCTCATAGGGCTTGTTCTCCAGACCCTTGATCATTTTAGTTGCCCTCCTCTGGACACATTCCAGTTTGTCAATATCTCTCTTGAATTGTGGTGCCCAGAATTGGACACAATATTCCAGGTGTGGTCTAACCAAAGTGGAATAGAGGGGTAACATTACTTCCTTAGTTCTAGACACAATGCTCCTATTGATGCAGGCCAAAATCCCACTGGCTTTTTTTGCTGCCACATCACATGTTGGCTCATGTTTAACTTGTTGTCCACAAGGACTCCAATATCTTTTTCACACGTCCTGCTCTCGAGCCAGGCATCGTCCCCCATTCTGTCTCTTTGCATTTCGTTTTTGTCTGTCTAAGTGGAGTATCTTGCATTTGTCCCCGTTGAACTTCATTTTGTTAGTTTTGGCCCATCATCTCTTTAATCTGCTAAGATCGTTTTGAATCCTGCTCCTGTCTTCTGGAGTACTGGCTATCCTCCCAATTTGGTGTCGTCTGCAAACTTGATGATCCTGCCTTCTAGCCCTTCATCTAACTCATGAATAAAGATCCTGAGCAGGACCGGGCCCAGGACGGAACCCTGCTGATGGCACTCCACTCATCACTTCTTTCCAGGATGAAGAGGAAGAAGCCTTGGGGAGAATCACCCTCTGGGTTCGTCCATTTAACCAATTCCAGATCCACCTCACCGTAGTTTTGCCTAGCCCACATTGGTTCAGTGCCATTGATGATTCCTTTAGGAAGTTCGGACTCAAACCCAGATTGGGTTTAAACTCTCATCAAAACCACCACCGAGATACGACATCACGTTGCCCTCCTCCTCCTCCTTTATCATAGAATCATAGAATCATAGAATCAAAGAGTTGGAAGAGACCTCATGGGCCATCCAGTCCAACCCCCTGCCAAGAAGCAGGAATATTGCATTCAAATCAGCCCAGACAGATGGCCATCCAGCCTCTGTTTAAAAGCTTCCAAAGAAGGAGCCTCCACCACACTCCGGGGCAGAGAGTTCCACTGCTGAACGGCTCTCACAGTCAGGAAGTTCTTCCTCATGTTCAGATGGAATCTCCTCTCTCCAACTTTGGCTCCCTTTTTCCACAACACAAACCAAAGTTTGATTCTCCAAAAGCAAATGTGTATTTTTTATTATTTTTTTTCTCAAAGATAACACCTTTATTACGCAATTTATTACTGTTAGATAATAAGAATTAATTCGTCGTCATCATTATTATATATTTTTTAATCATTGTTATTTCTTATGCAGAGATGAACAATTCCTCCTCCCTCCCCTCCCAATCTTTGATCACAGAGCAAACAGCTTTGCTGTTTTGTGATATATATATTTCTGTAATATATATATTATATATATTATATATATATTATTTATATTTATTTCATGTTAATGGAGTCCTGATTGAAAATAGATCTATGCGCGTTGTTTTCGCCGTTTCCGCCCCTCTTCGCCGGGCGTTGTCGTGTGGGTTTCGGTGTTGGTGTGTCGCGTCGCCAAAGGCGCCGAACCAGGCAAGGCCTCCCCGTTCCAAGCACAGGCCGAGGGATGGAAGGAAGGAAGGAAGGAAGGAAGGAAGGAAGGAAGGAAGGAAGGAAGAAAAGAAGGATAAGCGGAAGGAGAGAAAGAAAAGAGGAAGGAAGGAAGGGCAGCGGAGTCCCGAACCCACGTCCACTCCTTGGGAGCCCCTGCCTGCTCCGCGGGGCGCTGATGGCGTCTCCGTGAGCAAGTGGACGGTTGGTTGGTTGGTCAGTTGGTCAAAGGTCGGATGCGGGGGTCAGCGAGGCGGTGGCGGCCATGTTGGCGGGGGCTCCCCCGGCTATGTGGAGTCCTGGTTGACCACTTTGCCTCCGTTCATGGTGGGCGTCCCCGAGCTTTTCCTGGAGCGGCCTTGTTTCTCTCCGATTTCATGCAGGGAAGGCTCTCTGTACATGCACACTGGGGAGGAGAGAGAAAGGGGAAACCAAAGGGGAGACATGGTTAGGTTTCGGACATCAGACACACTTACGAGGGTTGAATGAAAAGTAATGCCTCCACCTTCGTTACTTGGGTTTGGATGGGAATATTTTAATAAATCAAACGCAGAAATTATCCTTAGAATGTGCTCTTTAACTATTAAAGTCACTAGAATCATAGAATCATAGAATCAAAGAGTTGGAAGAGACCTCATGGGCCATCCAGTCCAACCCCATTCTGCCAAGAAGCAGGAATATTGCATTCAAATCACCCCTGACAAATGGCCACACAGCCTCTGCTTAAAAGCTTCACTGCTGAACGGCTCTCACAGTCAGGAAGTTCTTCCTCATGTTCAGATGGAATCTCCTTTCTTGTAGTTTGAAGCCATTGTTCCGCATCCTAGTCTCCAAGGAGCAGAAAACAAGCTTGCTCCCTCCTCCCTTTGGCTTCCTCTCACATATTTATACATGGCTATCATATCTCCTCTCAGCCTTCTCTTCTTCAGGCTAAACATGCCCAGCTCCTTAAGCCGCTCCTCATAGGGCTTGTTCTCCAGACCCTTGATCATTTTAGTCGCCCTCCTCTGGACACATTCCAGCTTGTCAATATCTCTCTTTGAATTGTGGTGCCCAGAATTGGACACAATATTCCAGATGTGGTCTAACCAAAGCAGAATAGAGGGGTAGCATTACTTCCTTAGATCTAGACACTATGCTCCTATTGATGCAGGCCAAATCCCATTGGCTTTTTTTGCCGCCACATCACATTGTTGGCTCATGTTTAACTTGTTGTCCACGAGGACTCCAAGATCTTTTTCACACGTACTGCTCTCGAGCCAGCGTCCCCCATTCTGTATCTTTGCATTTCATTTTTTTCTGCCTAAGTGGAGTATCTTGCATTTGTCCCCGTTGAACTTCATTTTGTTAGTTTTGGTCCATCTCTCTAATCTGTCAAGATCATTTTGAATCCTGCTCCTGTCCTCTGGAGTATTGGCTATCTCCTCCCAATTTGGTGTCGTCTGCAAACTTGATGATCATGCCTTCTAGCCCTTCATCTAAGTCATTAATAAAGATGTTGACCAGGACCGGGCCCAGGACGGAACCCTGCGGCACTCCACTTGTCACTCCACTAGTCCCCTGACATTAAGTCCAGTCATGTCTGACTCTGGGGTGTGGTGCTCATCTCCATTTCTAAGCCGAAGAGCCAGTGTTGTCCGTAGACACCTCCAAGGTCATGTGGCCGGCATGACTGCATGGAGCACCATTACCTTCCCGCTGGAGCGGTACCTATTGATCTACTCACATTTGCATGTTTTCGAACTGCTAGGTTGGCAGAAGCTAGGGCTGACAGCGGAAGCTCACGCCGCTCCCCGGAATCGAACCTGCGACCTTTCGATCAACAAGCTCAGCAGCTCAGTGCTTTAACTGTGCCAATATCTATCCCCATGTTTTATTTATTTATTTATTTATTTATTTATTTATTTCGTGTACTTCTACCCCGCCCTTCTCAACCCCCGAGGGGGGACTCAGGGCGGCTTACAAAAAGGCACATCTTGGTGCCTACACAAATACAATAACATATAAACCAGCAATTAAATGGTCAACAATTAAAAACAATTAAAACAACAATATATCACACAGTCAATAGCCAATCTCAGACACAGCGTTCGCCAACTCAGAGTTCATATTTCGTTCCACCTTGTCCAATTCCTATCCATCGTCACAGTCCCTTATTCATCTGCCAGATTGCCCAAACGCCTGGTCCCACATCCATGTTTTTAATTTCTTTCTGAAGGAAAGGAGGGATGTTGCTGATCTGATCTCCCCGGGGAGTGAATTCCATAGGTGAGGGGCCACCACTGAGAAGGCCCTGCTCCTCGTCCCCGCCAATCTCACTTGTGACAGAGGCGGGGTCGAGAGCAGGGCCTCCCCAGAGGATCTCAGACTCCGAGATGGGACGTAAAGGGAGATGCGTTCGGACAGATACGCTGGGCCAGAACCGAACAGCTGTTCTTGAAGGCCACACCCTCAGCGACCTCCAAGGAGAGCTGTGTTTGGCCACACTTTTAAAATCTCTCATCTTTCCTTCCCTTCCCTGGCAAGCTGTCATGCAGAAGGGAGAGGGGGGCGTGGCCAAGCACAGCGCTCCTTGGAGGTCGCTGGGGGGGGGGGCTTCACCCCCCCCCCCCCCGAAATTTTCATGGTGGTTCGCGAAAAGGCCTTAATGGTGCATTATTTAAACTGTTATGTTTATTCATATCATGATCTGATCACCATGCTCAATATATCCCATATGCATGATGGGGGTGTTATTGGGGTAATGATACAAAAGTCTTTCACTCAGACTCAGCCCCCCCCAAACCCCCCTGAAAAAAACTCCCCCCCCCCCCCTCCCCAAATCAAAATCCTGGCTACGTGCCTGGGAACACCTAATCACCTCTCAAGAAAGGATTCTTCCAGGTGGTAAGAAGCCAGACTTTGAAAACTGCTAGGCCATCAAATGCTAATCAAGGTGGCCAATTGAAATATTCTCACCTACCACTATCAGACAAGAGTTCTTTCTCCCAATCTGGACCTTCCACAGATATATAAACCAATTTTCCAAATATATTTTCCTAGTTTCCAAAACCGTGAAACCAGAAAAACACAATTAATCACAAACAGTAGTAAAAAAATACTCCACTTTGGCAGAAAAAATGAAATGCAAAGATACAGAATGGGGGACAATGCCTGGCTCGAGAGCAGGACGTGTGAAAAAGATCTTGGAGTCCTCGTGGACAACAAGTTAAACATGAGCCAGGAATGTGATGTGGCGGCAAAAAAAGCCAATGGGATTTTGGCCTGCATCAAGAGGAGCATAGAGTCTAGATCTAGGGAAGTCATGCTCCCCATGCTCTATTCTGCTTTGGTTAGACCACACCTGGAATATTGTGTCCAATTCTGGGCACCACAATTCAAGAGAGATATTGACAAGGGGCGACTAAAATGATCAAGGGTCTGGAGAACAAGCCCTATGAGGAGCGGCTTAAAGAGCTGGGCATGTTTAGCCTGAAGAAGAGAAGCCGGAGAGGAGATATGATAGCCATGTATAAATATGTGAGAGGAAGCCACAGGGAGGAGGGAGCAAGCTTGTTTTCTGCTTCCTTGGAGACTAGGACGCAATGGAACAATGGCTTCAAACTACAAGAGAGAGATTCCATCTGAACATGAGGAAGAACTTCCTGACTGTGAGAGCCGTTCAGCAGTGGAACTCTCTGCCCTGGAGTGTGGTGGAGGCTCCTTCTTTGGAAGCTTTGAAACAGAGGCTGGATGGCCATCTGTCAGGGGTGATTTGAATGCAATATTCCTGCTTCTTGGCAGAATGGGGTTGGACTGGATGGTCCAGGAGGTCTCTTCCAACTCTAGGATTCTATGATTCTAAGTTACATTCATCAACTTCTTCTTCTTCTTCTTCTTCTTATTATTATTATTATTATTATTATTATTATTATTATTATTGTGTTTATTTATATAATGCTTTCTCTCCCCATAAGGAGACTCAAAGTGGAGAACATTACAAGCATTACAATGCGATTTAGTGTTATTAGAAGGCCCTGAGTTTCCTCTGCTGAAGAGTGCGGATGCCTCATCAAACTACAAATCCCAGGATTACATGGCATTGAGCAATGAGCATTAAATTCCAGGTGGCATTCCCCAAACAGAAGCTCCAGGTGCAGCTCCTGAAGCAGCTTCCCCTTTTGCTTTGGTTCAGCAATCAGATTATCCAATTTGGCATGGCAAAAAAAGACGAGCATGAGATTGGAGTAGAGCAGCACTCTACTTTGGCAACCCCAATGAAATGCACAGGTAGGAGATGGGGAACACCTGGCTTTAAAAGAGTCCAAAGGAAAGGGATCTTGGAACCTTATCAGGCACGAACCAAGTCTGCTGCCATTCCAGGCTGCATGGGTGGGAGTGTACTGCAGGATGAGGGAAGTCACAAGACCTCATCGCACATACTCCAGAGGACAGGAGCAGGATTCAAAACGATCTTGACAGATTAGAGAGATGAATGACCAAAACTAACACAATGAAGTTCAACAGGGACAAATGCAAGATACTCCACTTAGGCAGGAAAAAACGAAATGCAAAGAGACAGAATGGGGGGCGCCTGGCTTGAGAGCAGTACGTGTGAAAAAGATCTTGGAGTCCTCGTGGACAACAAGTTAAACATGAGCCAGGAATGTGATGTGGCGGCAAAAAACGCCAATGAGATTTTGGCCTGCATCAAGAGGAGCCTAGTGTCCAGATCCAGGGAAGTCATGCTCCCCATGCTCTATTCCGCTTTGGTTAGACCACACCTGGAATATTGTGTCCAATTCTGGGCACCACAATTCAAGAGAGATATTGACAAGCTGGAATGTGTCCAGAGGAGAGCAACTAAAATGATAAAGGTTCTGGAGAACACGTCCTATGAGGAGCGGCTTAAGGAGCTGGGCATGTTTAGCCTGAAGAAGAGAAGGCCGAGAGGAGATATGATGAGGGCCATGTATAAATATGTGAGAGGAAGTCCTATGGAGGAGGGAGCAAGCTTCCTTTCTGCTGCCCTGGAGACTAGGACACAATGGAACTACAGGAAAGAAAGGAGATTCCACCTAAACATGAGGACGAACTTCCTGAGTGTGAGAGCTGTTCAGCAATGGAACTCTCTGCCCTGGAGTGTGGTGGAGGCTCCTTCTTTGGAAGCTTTTAAGCAGAGTCTGGATGGCCATCTGTTGGGGGTGCTTTGAACATGATTGCCCTGCTTCTTGGCAGAAAGGGGTTGGTCTCTTGAGTGCATGATTTAAATACCAATATATATTATGGGAGAGCAGATGTTCTTTGGGCAACTGATATATATTCTGTGCATATCTTTGTTCCTAATAGTTCAGAGAGATAACCAGGTATATCAGTCTAACAACCGAGAAGCCTAATTTGCCTTAGCATGAATACTAGTGGTTATTT